TGGAGAAGCCCTGTGGGCAGTGGGTGCTGCCCTCCAGTGCCACAAGGAGGCAGAACCAGCTTCCAGTGGTGGGTCGGGGAAGAGAGTCCGAGACCCGGGACTGCGTGGACTCTCACCTGTCACGAGGCTGCTGCTTTAAATAGCGAGGTATGTCACTGGTGAGGAGTGGCACCCCATCTAGGGGTAGAGAGGCGAGGGCTGCTGGCCAGGCTTCAGGCCAGCCTCCTAGGTCCTCCTTGTGATGCGTGGGTGGTGGGGCTGGTGGCCCACTTGCTCGCTCACAGTGACCAGTATCTCTGTCTGCCCGCAGTCTATCTGTGCAGCCCTGGCCTTCTTCTACAGCAACTACCTACTCCTGCACTGGCAGCTCCTCATCATGGTCGTCTGTGGGTTTTTCGGAACCATCTCCTTCTTCGCCGTGGAGCGGGCCGCTGCCGCCATCGTTGCCCGGGGCTCCGACTACAGGAGCATTTGACACGGTGCCGGTGCGGCTCCTTCCGAGACCCAAGCTGATGGTGGCAACAACATGCTGACAGGGAGAGGCCCCGCTCAGGGTCAGGTGGTGTCCAGGTGGACATCAAAGAAGCAAGACGATTGAGTGAGCCAGCGTCCGTGTGGAGGTTTACAGATGCGGCCAGCGGGGAGAGCTGTCTGTCAGCTCCCCTGTCTCCAGTCCCCTTTGATCATGCCATAGAGTGTCCGTGTTCCCCACCCTCTCGGTTAGTCACAGAGTCCTGCTGGGCAGGAAGTACAGATGGGGTGCGTGCCCCCCCACTAATTGTAGGGAGCGGCTGCCCGAGTCTGCTCTGCAGGGCAGAGAAATAAATGGCAGTGCTGAGCGGACCTCCTGGGGGCATTGCCCTTTGCCTCTTCACTGTGTCTGCTGCACACCTGTTCTCACCCCATAGCGCCCCCCCGCCCCCAGCAGGGCATGGTCCCTGCCGACGACTGCCCCAAGTCAGAGCCCGATGGAGTCAGCTGCCGTTTCGTGTGTTTCCGTTGCCTGTGGCCGTCAGCTCCCGCGGGGCCGGAGGACAGGACCCCCTGCAGCGCGTGCAGCACAGCACCGGCCAGACCCGCATGCAGAGGAGGACGCCGCTGCCCTGCGCTGACCTGTCTGCCACCCTGCGTCCCAGGTCTCAGTCTTTCTCAGACATGGCAACACCCGGCATGGGGACTGCAGGTGGCTTCTTTCAGCTTCTCAATCCCCTGCCCGCTGCAGACCCCTGTCCTCGGTGAGAAGTCAGGGGAGGTTGGGAGCCCTGCCCTCAGTGAGATGGCGCCCTGGCAGCTGTGACCTCGATTACACGCCTCTTAGGGTACGTGCCACTCTGTGCGGATGCCGGGGAAGGGGGTGTCAATATCTGGAGCGGTGCTCAGATGGAAAGGTCTCCCCTCTTTCCAGGGAACCCACCGCCATCGAGTCGGTTCCCCCTCAAGCCACCCCAATGAGGCATCCGAGGCTTTGAAGTTGGCCATGTACGGCAACCAGAGCCCCTCGTTCAGCAAGGTCACTTAAAACTGTTCCTGTGCAGAGAGCTAGTCCAGTGCCGCTGACAGCCCAGCTCAGCGGCTGCTCCCATTCTCAGTGACAGTCACCAAGGGGCCCCCGCAGCCCTGTCAGGGCAGCATTGCACTGCAAACCACAAGGCCTGCGGTTCAAGCCTACCCACCACTCAGAGAGAAAGGAGGCTTTCAGCACCTGCTCAGAGTGACAGCCTGGGAGCCCTCGCATAGGTGACAGTGACTCCATGGCCGTGGGTTTGAGGGGCTGCTTACAGTCGTCCCCACTGTCTGACTTCAGAACGTTCTCATCGCCCTGTGCCTGAGAACCCTCTCTCCCCATCAGCCCACAGGAAGCACAGTGCCTCCCGCCCCTCCACTCACAGCCACTGCTGGACAGGCGTGTGCCACGGCCCAGAGGCCAATACCTCCCTCCCAGCTGTGATGTGGAACCACCACAGTGGTACCCAGTCAGGTCTGCCAGAGGACAAACACTGTTTGCTGTCCTTTTTTAAGCCTGCTAGAACTGTGGAAAAGACCCTCAGCGGGGTGGGGCTGCAGGTTGAGCTGCTAGCTGCAAGTCCAGCAGTTTGGGATGGCCTGCGCTCTGCAGGGAGAAAGGAGGCTTTCTGCTGCCCTGCCAGGAGTCACAGCCTCGGGCCCACGGGCCGGTCTGCCCAGGCCTGCAGGGTCGCTGGGAGTCAGGATAGACTCCCTAGCCAGGGGCTTAGTGACCCTGGTGGGCCGGTCACCCGGCCCCGCACACACGTAATAACTCACCTTCCTGTGGGTCGGGATCGGGACGCAGCTTAGTGGGGCTGTGGGTTCAGGGTCTCAGGGCTGCTTACCCAGGTGTCAGCGGGAGCTGGGGCTGTCTCCAGGCTGGGGGGCAAGCATAGAGGGTGAGGGAGGCCTTCGACACTCAGTTGCTGGGGTGAGGGGTCCAGCTCCTCCTCGGCTCTGGACTGAGGACTTTATAGTTTCTTGCGGGTCCTTGGCGGGAGGCCGCCCTAGGCCCGAGTCGCCCGCGGAGGCAGGGGGAGAGTGCGGCCGGGTGGTTTTGTTTAATCACTGTCTGGAGATTTTACTACTTCAGACACCAACAGCTCAAACCATTAAAGAAGAAAACTGAAGATAACTGAAAATCCGACCGCGAGATTAATACATTCAACCAGCCCTCTGTTTTTCTTAGCGTTGGAGTGCGACCTCGCAGTTGAAGCTTGCCAGTGACAGCCTGTCACTTGGCCATATTCTGTTCATTAGAAGCCACATCCCCAGCGTGGCTCACCGTCCAGGGCCGAGAGCAGCTTACCCAAGGCAGGAGAGTGCCAGGATACGGTCACCTGACAGGCTGCACTCCACACCCAAGCTCAAGCCTTGTCCGTGGGCCTGCCCGCCACCTGGCACGAAGAGGTGCCCTAGTCTCTGTTTAAGGGAGCAGCATACTGTTAGCTGAAGGAGTCC